TGAGGGTCGAAAGCAGCGTGTTGCTGGATTGCAAGTTCCTGCGCCATCACCATTGCCCTCGACACAAACTCTTACGTCACCGAATAAGAAAACCCACCAAAGATCTCAGTCCGACGCTACTGGATTATTCCAGACTATACGCCGTAGTCATTCCGGTAATTATTTAAATTAAGATGACTTGTATTTTAAACTAATAAATTATGTATTACGTGAATTATTTTCACAATGTGCGATCATTCAATATTCTTCAAAAGGTATAATAAATAAAGTAAGTCTTGGGGACCTGAGCTCTGGTCGAGCGTTTGATAACGGCTGTACCTGTTTCTATTCCTGCCAAGGTGTGGTGAACGATTTGCGAGGCCAAAAAACTGATTGTTTTTGCAATGTAAGTTATCTTGTACGAAAATATCAAGCGTTGTACTTGAAGCTTTAATGAATTTTGTATGTTCTACAGGCACCCCGACTCGCGCCAGAACTCGAATTTATTCAAGCTCTAATATCAATTGGTAAATTGCTCGGGACTATCCCAACAAAGGAAAGTAAAACCGTTCAATTAGTGGCAGAGCTCAATACGCTTAATTTGAATCTCCCTGCGAGGGTGTGGCTTCCTCTGCACAGTACGATACCGCATCATATCGTGCGAGTTCCGCCACAATACGCCGCCGTTCTTAATAGCAAAGATAAGGTGCAGACATTTCGTTTCACTTTCTCAGCACTACTGCAAAATTTGTCACTTGAATATCGATTTCTATATTGATACTATTCTAGGCACCTTATATAATATATGTGGAAGTATTAGAGGTGGAGGATTTATATACATCGCCTGTGCCGACGAAAATAATGGGCAGCTCGTTAAGGCATACTAAGTCTGAGGAGAACTTGACAGGCGGCGAACAGTCTAACATATCCACTTCAGATAGTCAACAGAATTCGGCGATACGACAAACCCCTGTAAAAAATGTCTCACCTTATTCTGTTAGAAATACAGATGTGGCATTTAATTTCCCCGATGACGATCCTAATGATTGTTGGAGTCAGGAAGACGACGAGATCACACAGCAGGTATATTTTATTCGAGTAACCTTATATATATCTCTTTAATTCTAATTTATATTTTAATTTTTCCATTTGTTCAGTATTTACAGCTTCGTAAACCAAAAGATCGGGATACCATATCGCAATTGAGTCAAGAATCATCCGATAGCAGAGAACCAATCTTTGTACCAGGCGACATCAAAAGAAGATTAAGCGAAATGGCAGCTACGCCGAGCGCAACTTTCAGTCATGATCCCGAGGATCCATCGGCAGCAGTTCTCAAGGAGCCATGGGAGCAGAAACAACGACGCATAAGAGCTTCCAGTCCTTATGGGCACTTGGCATCTTGGAGATTACTCGCGGTTATCGTAAAATGCGGTGATGATCTCAGACAAGAACTTCTCGCCTCACAGTTACTCTCAATGTTGCAAAAGATTTGGCAAGACGAACAAGTGCCCCTTTGGGTACGACCATATAAGTAAGTGCGAGTTACTATTGGAAATTTTCGTCTTGTGAAAAAAGTTAATTGTTCTTCTCTTTTATTGAGGAAATAATTATTAACTGATATATAATTTGTTAATATATTAAATTCGTTGTATAATAATATTCAATGATTCTGCTCTTGAATGACAATTTGATTTTTTGTCACAGAATACTATGTCTGTCAAACGACAGTGGTCTGATTGAACCTATCCTGAACACCGTCTCACTCCACCAAGTAAAGAAGCAGTGCCAATTAACACTTTTCCAATATTTCGAACGAGAATTCGGCCCTTTTACCTCAGAAACGTTCCGCATGGCGCAGAGAAATTTTATTCAGAGCTGTGCCGCATATTGCCTCGTCAGCTATCTTATTCAAGTAAAAGATCGTCACAATGGCAATATTTTGTTGCACAGTGATGGTCATCTAATCCACATAGATTTTGGATTCATTTTGTCAACTTCGCCGCGAAATCTCGGCTTTGAAACTAGCCCATTTAAACTGACGCCGGAATTTGTCGAGGTGATGGGTGGCAATCAATCCAAGCTCTTCGAGGAATTTAAAAGCCTCATTCTTCAAGGCTTAATTGCGGCGCGGAAGCACATGGAGAAGATAGTTAACCTCGTTGAGATTATGTTGTCGGGTAAGTAATAAAGACTGTTCGTTCATACATTTGTTGGCGTGCACTTTTAACCCGCATATTTCAATAGGTTTTATTGATTTTTTCCCATAGGCTCTCAGCTTCCGTGTTTCCGCAGTGGTGGAGCGGCAACTGTTCAAGGTCTCAAGAATAGATTCCACCTCACATTAACGGAGGATCAATTACGTCGACATGTTGAGGATTTAGTCGAAGGCAGCATTCACTCGTGGTCCACTAAACTTTATGATCGATATCAATATTTCGCAAACGGTACTCTTTAATATCAAGATTAACTAATCTTCTCTGTCTATCACGTTTCGGTTAAAACTCTTTCGTGATAAAAAGGAAGGACATCAATATATATTGTGGTACTTCTTCCACAATTTTTACATCTATTTAATAACTCTGTTGACCAATCGGCAGTTACGTGCCGGCCAGGAAGCATATAGTCAATCTATCGTGTCGAGTAATTTGTATTTCGTATATTCACAAGTTATGATAAAAATACGGTAACGTAAAAAAGACTTGATTTCATTATGTATTGCTGTTTATTCTAATTGGCTTTAGAGATATTTTCTCAATTTTTCGATAAACATGTTTGCCTAAATTCCTATATGCTTAATATCCTATATTTTGAGAAGCTTCTAGTTTAGTTTCATTATGTAAATAAAGACTGTAATTTTGCATAATGATTGTACGATAGCAGAGGAAAAGGCAGAAAGCTTTTTCTGGGCACGTGAGCTGAAATTTCGGTTGGACAACGCTGTTTTCTAGCATTCCACAAGCACAAATGACGTTTTAGAGTGGAAAAACCGCTTTCCTCTTGAACATGTAGATAGCCTCGATTAGGCTAAACGTATAGAATTCGAATAGATTGCTATTCTTTGAGTTCGAGTTATTCCTTGCTTTCGTGGTGGGCAAAAACGATATGAAATATTTTTAGCAGAATTCAAAGCGATCTCGATGTTTGATAAATTAAGAAACTTCGCTAGATGAATGGAATATATGAATATCTTAAGAGAACATGAACTTAGTTGAAGGGTGAGCGCGCTTCGTTGAAAGTTAAAAATATTTATCGTCGTTTGAGAAATTAGGTGATGAAAGAAGGAAATGATCTATGAGAATTTTGGTATCCAGTTGATTACATATATTCACTATATATAACGTTTTTTGTTCGATACATTAAGACTGCTGTTGTTTACGTATGCCTCGATTGACAAATTGCGAATTAGCCGCATAGCTATCGCCGCAGCGCAGACGTGACGTCATTGACTGAGGGCGTTGGACTGCTAAATCGAGTGTAGCTTATATAAAGCGTAATTTGTTAAAGGTGCCTTATTTGTGTAGAGGAACGTGAAGACGATTAAACCTAGACACAGTGAAGTGACGTGTTAACGTGGCAATCTTAGCATGGAGCTGATTGAGCGTGAAGCGGACAATCTGTAATTTGTACATATAGCAAAGAAAAAAAATGGAGAGAAATTGCGTGGACTTTCGTAGATAATTCGCGGCAATAAAAAGAGCCTACTAAACGGTAGGGCAAAATCAGCGAATTTCCATCCCCGGGGAATTCTAACGTAATTTTAGCAAGTGCGCGAGAAGGCTACGTACAAAACATAGGCTCGGACATTAGCGGGAGGCGAATACTCAAAATATTTCCTATTTCGTAGATTAGTAATTCTTCGATAAATACATCTAATTGTACACGCGGTATGAAATTAAGGACTAAGCATTATACTATAGCGAATCTTAAGGATCACATTTGAAAGTTTTTACATGTTCTTATATTACGTAAACATTTCATTCCCCCTTCCCTCTCCCTTCCTTTCCCATAGCTGTGAATGCCAGAAGCGCAGTAGCTGTGTTTATGGAGGATAATTATTTAATCGTAATTCCTCGCGTGACGTTTTACGTACATATGTCCGTTTAAGTAAATTATATAGATATATATAGATAAACTATAAAGAGATATTGTACATATATATGAAATGACAAATTTTATCTCACCTTATTATACTATATCAGTTAAGAATTTAATCGAGAATGAATGTTTTCGAAACAAAATCAAAGTTGCGGCTGGAGCCAGCCCGGAGTACCAGAGAGACCTGGGCCCTCTGACTTCCAAGTGTCTTATATCTTTCTCTCTCGCTCCCGCTGTCTCTTCTCTATCATAACCGTCTCACAATAGACAGGCAGACCAGAAATCGGATATGATTATAGGATGATTGAGAGAATGCGAAACTAATCCGTCGATACTTGTAACACGTTGGTGGTCTTTTACTTTTTGGTTTCGGCGGGCTCTCGTAAAAATTGTATAATATATAATACGTATAATTACGTGAAGGATATTAACATTCTCGTTGTTATATGCTGTGTAAGAATGATTGCGAAAGGATACGCAAAAGGATTGTTAATCCTTTTACCCTTGGTCGATTGAAAATGGCCGAACTTACTTCCTGTTCTATCGACACGTGAAATGTCAAGATCTCTGATTTGCCTTGATCTTTCACCTCACTACAAGCTATTGGTAATATCCATCATTGAATAAATATGAATGCGATAAAAACAAAGACAATTTATTTAGCACCCAACTGCTACTTCGCATAAATTTGTATAACTGCATATCAGTACTAGTGATGTAATGATTGATCGATGATACATCTTTCCTCATTTTATATAATAATATATTATATAATATATATATATATATATACGCATATATTATACAATATATCGATATTATACATAGTCTATATAATTATTTCGTATTTTATACATACATATATATTACTAATTTATATATATATTATATATACGCGTAACAAAAACGTTACTGCCTAAAATTCTTATTACTGTTATACTCATTGTCCGTTGTTTCGAGTTCAGATTCGAACTTAACGGTACATAAACACATAATCGTCGTTACAAGATATCAGTACGGTATCAGTCACGACAAAAATTGTAAATTGGAACTTTTACACATTTACATACCTCATAAAGACGCCTACAATAGAAATAAAGCAATAAGTATGTCGCAAGTATCACAATAAGTCCTTATATTAATGGAGATCATATGGAAATACAGCCTTATATTCTAGAGAGCTGCTGCAATAAGTTAGAGGGCAAGATAGCTAGTTTGTCAAGAAGATAATAAAACGGATGGGAGAACCAGGCAAGCATCGAACGGGCGACTACGCCCATGGTGTCCGGATATTGATGAGTCAACAGAGCCAACAGTGCAGTGAACGAGCACAGACCGGCGGTAAAAAGAATGAAGAAGGGCAGTTCCTTCTTCGGATAGACACTGACATCGTGGAACGATGGCAGGAGTTCCCGGTCGGCGCATTCAGTACACGTTGGATATGGATAAAACAGATGCCCACGTTCAAGTGGATAAGGTAACATCCTGAACGTGCCCTCCCAAGTACAGTGGAGTAAATTTAGGGCACCCTCTATCTGCTTCCAATGTGCCAGATGGAAGAACGCGTACGCAATCGCTTCGGAGTCACCACGTTTTAGCACATGCTCGGGAGGCAAGATGAGCGGCTTCATTTCCAGGAGATACTTGGGTACATGAGGATTGAATTCTACAGCCCGATGGATCGCCTCCACTGCCGACATCTCGGCGGTGGTCAGACCGCGTTTGCTAGCAATATCGGGTGAAAATTTGTCTGCCACCAGACGGGCCTTCAGCAACGCCGCTGTGTAGCAAATAGTTGCCGATTTGGGCAGACTGATGTCATCATACTTGGCTAGAACAGCTTGCACGTCCGCGTATGCCTGCATCTCCAATAGGGTCTCGATCAAATTCTCGTGGATATTCAATACATTCATGATGGGCGGTACCTCCTTTGTGAGATCACGAAACATCTTCACCGCTTCCTTAAGTTTTCCTAACTTCCTCGCGCACATTGCTAGTCTTCTTTTGATGTAGATTAATACATTCGTATCCCTTCTGTGTATTGCCTCAGCTATGGATCCCTGGTGTTGAGTATTCTGTGATTTCCTATAATTGTTTTCAGCCACTTTCAAAGCTTGTTTCAGGATCTTCTCCGCCTCGATGATAGTAGTGGCCTCTTCCTCCGCAAGAAGAATATAAGCTGGTGCACAATCAGGATTACGATCGAGAGCACTGTGTGCCGCTTGTATCCTCACTACTGGATTGCGCTCTCTCCAAGCTGTTTGCATGATCTCGTACTCTGCTTTACCTATAAGAGAAGAATTTATTAGCTACGTATCTCTCAAAATATCTTATATCTAAGATCAAAAGAACAGAATTAATCTCTAATTGATCAAACATCTTGAAATTAACAATAAGTATTTTTAATTTATGGCGCTTTTCAACAAGAGATACAGAAGACCTATTCTTTTAAATTCTTTTTATGCAGTTCATTTGTTCTCTTTTCTTTTCTTTAATATAAAGAGAAAAGGAAGAAAGAAGAACATGGAAAAAGTTTAGCTAAAAAAAAAACAGATCTACTATAAGATAATCTTTGTGATTATATTTCATCTTTGTTTAACATTGGCAAACACAAGAATGTAATAACTTATATTGTTTAAGCTGAACTTCTTACATAGTTCATCTTTACTCTTTTCTTTTTCTTCAATGTTCAGGGAAAAGGAAGAAAAATAAACAATGCAAAAAGTTCAGGTAAAAAGAATTTAAATTTTTTTGTTGGAAAGCATCCCTACTAATATTTAAATTTTTCATACAGATATATTATGATTAAAATAATTATACATTTAATTCAGAATATCAACAACTGATATTTCTAAGTGTTTTTTTATGAACAAATAAGGTATGTATTCGGATCATACCAGTATCACCTTCACAGGTAAAGAATGTCTGATGATCCTGTGCAGATAAGTTCATGTCATAATATGTGAGAGGCTCTTTGTTAGTGGCCCAATAAAATCTTTGATATTCTGCGCCTCTGAAGAGATTAATCGGATTGCGCCAGACCTTACACTCGGGCACGTTCTGATGATTGGAGGATCCTCCTGAGTTGCTGAGGCTTGTACCATTGCCATCGTTAGCGTTGTCACCTCCGCCGATCCACGGCGAGATGTGGTTCAGTGACACTTGCTCGATGAACGAAGTACCATACTTCCTGAAGTACCACCATTCAAAGATGAGAATCAAACCGGAGATGAGGGACGACGTACCGGTGAGGGCGACGTAGAATTTTGGGGTTAGAGTATTCAGGAGCAATGTCGAGTCCCACATGCTGGTGAATAGCAGTGCCATTTGTACTCGCTCGAGAGAAAAAGCTCCGCGCGTTTGTTACAAATTAGCGACGACCAGTCGTCGCTTTCCCGCCACGGTCGTCGCGAGACACCAGTGTTCACCGCTGTTTACCACACGGCGCGCGACATCCGGAACACGATGACTAACAGCAAGACTCTACGCGAACTCTCCTGTCGTGCCGCTAATCCGCTAACGTATCCAATCTGTCCACAAAACTCGTGTCGTATGCTGAAGAGAAAATTGCTAGATGATTATTCGGTTATTCGATTCGGCACGCGTGCATCGTCACGCGTCTCCTCTCAGTCCTCCACAGTCCTGGCGTCTCCCGGCGCGTAGTAAATATTTTCGACCGATGCTGATGTCAATGCTGACAACATGCCACAATCTCATACGAAACGGTTAAATTCTTCCTCGGTCGATAAGGGATAAAATCGAAAGAAAAAGTCGCGCGCTGCAAAATGTCGAATCATGTTGATTGATAAAGGAGAAATTATCAAGTTTCTTATTGTTGCTGACTATTTAATTGCATCCAATGGCGATAGATGGCAACACAATTTTATTGTATTCGCTTTGCATTTGTTTATTCGTCACTAGATGGAGTTAGATGGTCAATCAATTGGTCCTCACTTTTTATATCTTTTTTTATATCTTTTTTTTCATGGGTAGTAAAACAAATTTTTTATATATTAATATAAACAGTTTTTTATAAAAAAATATTTTTCAATCAAAAAAATAATAATTAAATTAAATTAATTTAATTAATTAATTACACGATTGCGTGTTAAATATGCGATAACAATAAAGACTCGACACTTAAGTAAGCCACAAGACGTAGAAAACGATGTAATAAGAACAAATTAGCTAATTACAAATACGCAAATTATGACGCCTTAATGCATGTTATACGGCCACTTGACATATATGTATATAGAGAAACACAATTCAGTAGCGTTAGAAATGTGCGAACTATACGAATCGAATCAGATAAGATCTGTATAATTCGAATCCGAACTATTCAAAAATATTGAACCTAAAAGATTGGAATACAAATTAACATATTTAACAATCTTATAAAATTCCACTAGTAAGTAAACAGATAAAATTTTTTTTACTATCTATGTAAAATTCAATCTAACAATAATTGTTGTTAGTTAAAAATTATGTTTCAATGATTTGATTTAATTTAATTCGATTCGATTCGATGTTAAAAAAACTTTGATTCGCACATCTCTTA